TTTCAAGGCAAGCCACTCAACTGGTGGTGCGCAAGTTAAAACTGGAGGATCACCAAAGGCATTAGGATTCACGGTCTGGGAACAATGACTGTCTCTAACATTTATCTTGTCATTTTGCTGACAAAATGTTAAGATTAATGTTTTGTTAAAAAATCGCATCTGTGCCTCCCTTACTTTATCCATACTCCAGCATTTGATTGCTTTAGTTAGAAAGCTATTACAACATATCACAATAAAAAAAAGGCTCTCCATTAAACACTTTAAAAATCCTTAATTCACTGCCTTCAGCTTTATGAGCTTTATTTTAGGTCAGAACTCATTGGAGTCTTGCAAGTTTTCCAACCAGTTCTTTGCACAAACCAGTGGATTCAAAGCTTGGTAGCAGATTTTTCTTTCTCTATTGTCTCCATGTAGTCAGGATATTTCCAACAACACTTGAAAGCAGTGTGTGTATGAATATGTTTCGTGGATGAGTGCTGCTCGCTCGGCCACATACACACATGCTCAGTCATACAGTCACATGTGTGTGACAAGATGGGGAGCAGTGAGTTTTGTCAATGCGTTACCACGGTGCTGCAAGCCAATAATGATCACACTGACTGATGTCTCATGGTAAATGGAATATTGAGTAGGAAAGAGGTAGCTGTGTTGTTTATTATCGGCTACACATATGTGTGAGGTGCTGTCGATAATACTTAGGAGATAATGATGATCCAGAATGATCCAGGGGGACAGTCACAGTCAGTGGCACTCAACTTTATTTGATGTATATTATACATACACACACAATATATATATATGTATATATAAGTGTAATGATAGATATTATTAAATGGTTGTTTTGTGACTCACATATTCAGGGATGACGTTACCAAGTCAGCTTGACGTAAAACAATAATGTTATTAACCTTGAATTGGGAATGATTTATTCTGTGCATCACAGCAACAAGTGTCCCACTGCCTCTGTGTGTGTCTTCCAGGTGCGTTACCATGGTAATATTTATCTCACTTCCTGGCCCTTTGGATTTTCTGTGTATGCGTTGCCACGGAAACTGACATATTCTTTTGCCTGTGTGGCTATTGCGCCATTTGTCCCTTTGTCTGAAATAGAGCAGAAACTACATGCTGCGGTGCACTGTAAGCCTAAAGGGCATTAGTCATCTAACTGCATAGTGCCAGTCCAGTCAGCAGCGTCATTAGTCTTTCCAGAGTAACATCTGTCAGATAGGAACACAGAGCAACAATAAAAATGACAACACAACAAGCACTGAATCCCAGGCTTAATAGATGTGTTACACTAAGGCTTTACATAACATTTTATATAACATACACATCTCATCAAGATGTTGCTAGGCTTTGATGAACTGCTCACATGAATCACTTTGCATTCTTTTACCCCACGTGTCTAACACTTTCCCCTTTCTTCTTTCCTGCAAAGCATAGTCATGATTTACACTGATTCACTCCTGCTAATGCAAAATCAGTTTTAAGTGTAGCAAACTTGCAGAAAATACCATTTGTAAAACTTGGGATTATTGATTCGATCTGTGCAGCCATTCCAGCAAATATCATCTGTGTGTGTGTGTGTGTGTGTGTGTATATGTGTGTGTGTCGGAGGGTTCAATAGTTCTAATAAATACAGGAAGAAAACTGATGATGGCAGCTGTGTGAAGGCTTAGCAACCAACTATATTTTGGAGACAAACATTAGGAGTTAAAGGATTGTGACACTAGCTGTGTGGTAGATTTGTCTCTATATAGGCTATTTAAACAGTGTTACATCTCAGTAGGCATTCACGTCACACTGTGATCAGAGAATATGAATACTTTGCTTGTATGTTGCTAAGGTTTTCAGTGTTACGGTGCACTGTGGCTTCACATCGAGCATATATGAGCAGTGACTGAATGAATGGATGCGATTTGTGGTCCCGTAACATGTGATCCCATTAATCTGTTTGGGTTTGAGAATCACATTAGGCAAGTGTTCATGATCATATCATACACGTTTGTTTTTTAGCTTATTGACTCCACAGATACAGCCAATATGTAACAGTAGCTGGCAGACGTTATCTCAGGGATGAGAAAATAAGCTCTAGATTTGATGAGTGTTACTGGATGAGAGCAGGTTCCTTACTGAGGAGGGAAACAAAATGAAACAAAACATCTTTCCCCTTGAAGATTTAATCATGAACTCAGAGAAACTATTCACCATGGTGATCAGCTTCTGTGATTGTGTCTGCTGCTGTTAAAGCCAGGCTTGGACGTCTGACTAGGTAAACTTGGCCCACAGCTCTAATGGCTTGAAGGCCAGAATGCATCCTAAATCAGTGTTTTTGCTTCATTAAGTGGAGCGTTAATGTGGAAAAGAGGCTTGTTCAAAGCTAGAATCTGTAACTTTCCACACATTCTGCAAGATCTTTGAATCTCCCCTGTTTTTACTTTGAGTCCTTTTTTTTTTACCAAATCTTTTCACATAATGTTGCGTGAAACTACAAAAAACACGTTTGGTTTGCACAGTTGTTAGTCAGAGATAGTGATCCATTACCCAGAGTAATGAGACCAAATGTAGTGCACCGAAACTTCAAAGTTCAACTATGCAGCTGACAAAAATATAACATTGTAAATAACATAGGTCAGGAGTTTATCCTTAAATGAACATTCAGTGAAGAAAAAAATCCAAATGTTGCAAAGTTTTTGCAGATGTGGTGTCCTCTGCGTCTCCACAGATCATCAATAAATCATACAAGACACAAAATAATATATAACAACTTCAAATGAATTCAAGGATCTGCTTTTTAAACAATTAAACTGTGCAGCTTTGGAGCGTCTCGGTTTGTAAATTTGAATGGGTGCCCCTGCCGGTCACACAGGCTTTCAGCTCACTGTTGCCAGAGTCCAGCAGTGATACCAGGATTTAGTCTGCCCCCTTTGCTCTTCTGTCAGCATTCCACAGGCTTCATAGGTTGACACTTAAGAACTGAAGCTCATCCATCCCCTTCAGAAATCCTGCTGGGCAGAACCAGCTCGACCGAGGAGAGGCCTCTTATTTTAACTATTCCAACTGTTTGTCTTTTCTTTTGCAGTGTGTGTGTGTGTGTGTGTGTGTGTGTGTGTGTGTGTGTGTAAGTGTGGGTGTGTACAGGCATGTGCATGTGTGCCCCTCAAGCTGTGTGTGAGGTCAAGCGGGAGGGAAAAGGGCTTCCTCCTCCAGCGATAAGGAATGGCAGACACACACAAAAACACACACAACTGTGCCGGATAAAATGCTCTATTAAAAAGGGGGCAACAAGCAACCTGGTTTTCGCTTGACTCGTGACAGGCTCATTCGCACACACACACACACACACACACACACACACACACACACACACACACACACACACACACACACACACACACACACACTCTCAGGTGGCTCTCCAGGCTGCCTGTGTCCACATCTTGTTTTGCTCCCATGGCTGAATGATGGCTCTGTTGCTTCACTGCACTGAGTGGGGTCAAATAACAAGAGAGCTGACAGCGGGAGGAATGACCTCAAAATATTGTTGAGAGAGGTCTAATTATGAAAAGCAAAGTCAGGTTCTTGACATAAAGTCCCAGAAGATTTGAAGAAATTTTATGTTTTCAAGATATAAAATGTTACGTAAATAGTTTGCAGGAATACAAAATAAGAGCATATAAACACAGGCACATTAGAGTCCACTTATAATCCCTCTGTCTGGATAAAGCATTAGATAAATTGGAGCTATGTCTCCTCTCTTTCTTTTTCCCCGCTTTCTTAACCTCTACCTCTTCCTGACCTCTTCCCTCAGTAGACACAGAGGAATGCATGACCAGAGATTCAGATGACTCAAATGTTCATCAAAGCCAAAGCGGTCTCCAGGTTTCCAGCAATTCATTACCATTCACTTCAGTTCAATTCCACCTTGATCACGGATTAAGCCAAAGCTTTAAATGAAACCTGGCTGCTGCAGAAAAATGGGTGCGATGACTCAGACTGTTTTCTATATGCTCTGGCCTTCCACAAACCACATCTCCTCTTTCACATATGCTATGCATTCTTAATGTTAGTTTACGTGAGTGGAGAGCATATTGCAAATCCATCAATGGAAGGGCACTTCAGTGCTGGAGGATGTCCTCACTTGCTCCTTAGAGAAAGACTTCTTTCCTAGGTACATGCTGTCTTTCTGTTTATATTTCTATGCAGGCAACATCAATTTTATACATTTAGTTAGGCTTTTATACTGTTGTAATAGTAACATTAGGGTTTTCATTTTTGCTTTTTTCATTGTAATTGTTTGTTTATCTAACACAATCTACTGCCAAGCTTGTCTACCTCATAAAAATCACATAAAAAGCTTTTTCAATACTTTTTTATTATGCAAAGAACGCAGAGGCCAAAGGTTTACTCAGTTTCACAGGCATGAAGTCCAGGGAACCTTAATGTGCTGCAGGTTTTCTTTACGTTATTTCCGCCCTGATGAAGACCCTGTGGGGTCAAAACTGATCTGCACTTTTAAACCATTGTGCGTGACTGAATAAAAGCTCTTAATATATTGTTTTCTTTTCCTTCCAGAGTGATTGACTTTAATTGTAGAAAAAAACTAGTTAAACTAAAATCAATAGTCTTATGTTAACAATGGATCAAATAAATACACTATTTGTACGTAAAAAGGGGTCATTCATTAGAACCCAGACTAATTTTAAATCATTAGTTTTGCCTTTCTAACCTGCAACCCTCAAATGGATTCTAATGTTGCTCTGTATATGCTGAATTTATAAATAAGCAGCTTTAAGCTACCAACTGTTCACAGATGATAATCTGTCAGTTTGTATCTATATTTGGTGTATTGTTGAAGTTAATTCGGATATGTCCATTAACAGTCATTTTTCAAGGTGAAAAACAGCAGTGGAAGTCGGCTCAGCACAACCCACTGCACCAAATATTCTATGCTCTGATAGTCTCACCCTACTCTTTGTGTTCACGTTTGTCTACCCCAGGGTGATTTCACCTGGAGCAGTCTGTCGGGGCGGAGTGTGCGTCTGACCCCAGTTGCCATCCAGAGCCTGTCGGAGCTGGAGAGGGCCAGGCTGCAGGAGGTTGCCTACACCCGCTTACATCAGGACTATGACCTGGGATGTCAGATTACCATGCCAAAAGGTGGGAGCATGTGTGTGTGTGGTTTAATGCATATTGCAGACCTGAGTTAAACACTGTTACGTAATTTTTATGTATGTGAGTTCCTGATGGGTGGAATTTACTGCTTCAACATACCTCAGATAGCCTCAGGCTGTCAAAACCCTGACATTTATGTGACTGTTAACTGTGGCAGAATGCATCTGTCCCTGACTCCAGAACTGTTCTCTCTCACAAACACTTCTCATTCTTAATCCACGTTTGCTGTGTAAGCTTGTGCAGATACTTTCGAGTGTCCTATAAAGTAAAGCCTCTGACCACATCCTCTTGTCATCCCTTAAGTGTATTTAAAGGAAGTCATGTATGGTCTATGTTTGGGAAACTTGTGACAACACATGAATTTAGATGTAAACCACGCTTCACATCAGGATCGGGCGCTTCCTGTTTCACCCCCCCCCCCCATAATGACACGCGACTCCTTTTCCGCTGCAGCTGAGGCTGAGTGCAGTCACCCCACTAGTCACCATATACACTCACACTTTTAAAAAGTCCTAAATGTTGCAAAAGCAGGCTGTATTTGTAAATAACTGTGTTTTGGTCTTGTAAACCAAACCATAAAGAGAATAAGGGTTTGGAAAAAATTAGACAAATTAAGCCAGATATAGCAAAAATGGGCAGTGCGCTCTGAAACTACTCAAGTTGGTGGTTTGTTTCCCACTGGACTCGCCCATACTAAAAATGTCTACGTGCATCACGGTTTAGTGATAGAATATATATATAGACACACACACACACACACACACACACACACACACACATACACAATCCTACTCAGTTTAAAGCAAAGACGTGGGCAGGCCATAATAAGTTCAGTAAGGCACACAGTACACTGAATATAATACTAGAATGTACAACATATAAATGTGGGATTTCTGAAGACAGAAATTCATCATTCCTGTCAGCAAAATTAACATCATACTCAACAGGATCATAGCTCATATCTGGAAACAGCAATATCGTTATGAAGACAACATAATGTTTTAACTAAATCCACATTAGCTAAACTGTAGAAGAGAAAACAATGACCGTAACCGTTTATTGTAAAGACACGTCACAGTGCACAGACTGACTTCTTGGTGTGTGCCCAAAGCCAAATAAAGTGCTCAAGTCAGAGATTCTCTACCTTTTGGGTTTGTGATGAAATGGTGTCTATTTGCAGCTTCTTGTCACAGGTTGCATCTTCTAGTTGTACCAAGTTAGCAAAGAAGCAAATTATTCCCACTTAGGTTTATTTATTTGAATTATTTCTAGAGGCCAGAGACATATTATTATAAAATAAGATAAATTATCCTGAGATTCAGATGTCTCTCATGACTCTTTGGAGTTCCTGACCCACTAACTGTTGTCTTGTTTACAGCCTGTCAAATTCAACACCAACAAACGTCCTTATGAAGCTGCTGCTGTGTTTCTACATCTCAAAAATTAGCAAAAAAAAAGAGAATAAATATCAGAACGGTACTCTTAACTTTCTGCATCTGTCCATGGTCACACAGATGCACGCATGCACAGTGAGTGCAGCATTTTCTCACTGTACTGTATAGCAGTGGAGTGGCTGCCATAGCAGCAGTGTAGTGCAGCCAGTGGATTATCCAGGGCCTTGCATTCCAGCTGAAGGTTAAACCTCTCCCCACCATGATTTAATACGTACTTGTCTGTGTTGCTTATGAATTCCAGAGCCCCTGACGGCCGCCATGTGCTAACAAGGGAAATATTTCAACTTGTGTGTATAAGTGTGTGTGTGTGTGCTGTTTCAGCACTGCTATTGTGGGCTTTTTAGCTTCACTGTTCCTCATATTTATCTGAGTGCCAGGTTTCATGTTCCTAATGTTTCTTCAAGAATGAGAAGTAGATTGAAGAAGGAGAGACCACAAGGGATGGGATGAGGGTGTGATGACACAGAAAAGCAGCAAAGGTTCATCAGATAGTTTCACAACTGGTTGGAAGTTGAACTGCGGAGGTTTGGAGGTTCGGGGATTTCCGTACGGCTTTGGGAGCCATCTGTCAAAAATCCAAACCATTTCCTATCTCTGCTTCTCCCTCCTCTCTCTCTCACTGCCCTTGCTCTCCATCACAACATCTGCTTTCTCTCTCCTTCTATCTCACACCCCCTCCTCACTGTTTCCTCACCTATTTCTCTCTTGTCCACCTAAGATTTCACTTCTTGTCCTTCTCACTTAATGCTGCATTTTTTTGTCTGTTTTTTGCAGCTCAGAGGCTTAAAAGCACATGTAAGTTTCTCAATCAACTGATTATCAAAGAACAGCAACTAGTTCTGATTTGTCAGAGATGGTTGGACACATGGGGAAACTGAACCTGCTCCCTCACATAAGAGGCTGACGCTACCATCAAACGTGTTGTTGGAGCTGGATAAAATTTCCTGAGCTCCACAAATCACTCATTCGATACAGACGAAGGGAATATCTGGGGTTGAAACTGAGGTTGCTAAATCAGCAGATCAAGGAGAAAACTCTCTGGGCGAGTCCAAACTGATCTGATGTGTAAAAGAGTTGGTTTTGGATCCCCAAAAGCAAACAGCAGAGTGACCGAATGATAGCGTTAAAAGATGCTGAGGTTTCCATGAACTGACATCCTGGTCTGAGATGAGGTTGCCAAGGCTTTAAAGTTGCGTGTGCCACGGTTTCCAGAGTTTCCTGATCATTAATCAGCAATTCAGGAGTCATTCATCATGTTGACAGCTGACAAAGCAGCTTTGCTCCTTGCAGAAAGCTCCAGTCCAAAACCTGGATGTAAAGCTCTCACGTACACACATATAAAGATATTTTTTAGAGCAGCTCATATGATTGTTTGCAATGGCAGTTTGTTCTTGCATTTTTGGCAAATGTAGCACATCAGATATTTCTATTTATAGTATGCAAAGTACACCAATGACCCTCCAGAGCAAGATCAGTCTCACAGTGGAGGTTTACAACAATAATTTCCTCCACTATAAGCTCCGTATACTGAGAGGGAATTACACTTTCTGGCAGCTGTTCTGTCCTTTTCTTATTCTTTCAAGGGAAACCTTGCCAAGAAAGTCTATGGATGCCCATGTATGGCATTGCAGAGTACAGCATTTCCCAGTGTTCACAGTAAAAAAGTCCTTAACACATATAGGTCAGAGTAGATAACAAATATCAGTGATTTTATGTTTTGATAGATATTTTTTCTGCTGACTACCGTGGGCAACCCTGTCTGACATTTCAGTTAAATGGATTTAGGTTCATAGACAGCCCCCCCCCCCCGTGGCTAATTTATGTCTGCATTCCTGACATAAGCTTATTAGATATAATAAGATAAGATACAGCTGTTATGGAGACTGTTTGTTTCAGATGATTTATTCTCTTGTTTTCTTTTAGATGGACAGAAGAGGAAAAAGTCACTGAGGAGGAAGTTGGACTCTCTTGCAAAAGAGAAGAGTAAAGACAAAGGTACGGCAAGATCTTTCAACATGAACTCTGACATGTTGGCGGTTCACAGGGTTTTCTCTCTCAATATCTCTTTTACTCTCTCTTTGTCACAACTGTAATTTGTCCTTGTAAGGGGACCGGGCTCTGAGAAGCAGCATATTTGGCACAAAGTGAAAAGGATCTTCATCAAAGAAGTGCAGATGGAGATAAAATAAAATAGGCCTCTCTTGTTAAATTTGTGAGAGTTTGGGAGCTGATCCCTGGTTTCATTTACCACGAATACACACACATCCCTCCTTTCTAATAGCCTACCATGCTTAAACAAATTATGCATAGCTTGCAATGTTTAATACAAACATAATATGCACAAACTTAATCAGAAGCCTCCCAATGTTATGAAAATGGCAAACTGAACCACTGGATAACAACTTCAAAAACTACTGTTACACATTCCAACTGTTACATGTAATGATTTTTCAGGATTTTTCTTTGGAGAGCCGCCACTTGAATCCTGTAGACTTTCATAATTGAACTAATCTAAAATAAGCTGAGGTTCAAGGTTCAACTCATTCATCCATAAAAACATAGAAATCACTGTGCCCCCGTCTTAATCAGCTGCATAAATAAATACCCATAAAATAAATCCATAAAAAACACCAACACAAAACTACATGAGCTGACTGTGCCAAGTAGGAAAAATATCATAGAACATGAATTTTGCTTTATTGTTAATTTATACCATTCAAACCAGAGCTATGTGAGTCTTTATTTCATTGCTCCAACAAGTGGAGGAAACAGCTGTCAAGCTCTGAGTTTTATATTGAGTGGTGATGCTATGTCACAACTGTGTGGTCTGAAAATATTATGCATGCTTTGGCCAATCATAACCAAGTATTGCTGGTGACAGCTGTGGAAAAGCACTGGCCGGTTGTCTATGACCTCCAGTTGAGGGGATGAAAAATCAATGTGAGGACACATAAAAAGAGTCATATATGTTATGTAAGTTTATGTCAGGGTTAAACTGTGAATATAAACAGAGTCTAGGTGGGTTTTCCCTCCACTACATGCCTGGCTCTACCCCTCCAGATCCCAGAGGTCTCAGATGTAGCTGTTGTCTAAACTTCCAAATGGATTCCAAGTTTAATTCTTTCCTGGGGTCCCTGAGTACCAGCCCTGCATTTCCCTCTAAACGGGCTCAGCCTTTTCTCTGCACAACAGAGGGAGAAGGAAAATACTGCCTCCTTTGATGCAGCCACAGTAATGTGTGCTGCATGTGCTATAACCACACCTCAGTCAAACTATATCTGCAAACAAGGTTTAATAGCTGATGCAGTCTGCTTTAAGGGTGAGTTTATACCTCAGATAGATTCAATCAAGTTCAGTCAAAGCAAAGATTCACCAATTAGTCTTTCAAATACTTTTTTTTTTTGGTATTTTCAGTGTGTTGTCTTGAGAGGTAAACTGCACCGATCTGTGCACATGAAAGCAAACGTTTCATGTTATTTATGACTTTCCTGAGGCTCTTAGATACTTTCTGAAAACATATCCAGCTAATATAAACACACTACATGGACATGAATAAGGAATAGCGAGAAAAGAAGTGCACTGAAAACCTACATTGTTGTTCCTAAGATGCTGTAGGCCTGGAAAATGTAGATTCATGTAAATCTGACATGGCTTGATAAATGTGGTCTGGCTGTAGACACACTGAGAAGTGTTGCACATTACGTCAGCAAAGACTGTACATTATGCGATCCAGATCGTGTTTGTGTGCACATGTGTGTCTGTGCAAGTTACATAAGCTCTGTTAACTCTGTGAGGCTGCAGAGTAAATTTGTTGTGTCACAGTGTTAGTGGTCATGTTGTTCATGAACCACAGTCCTCCACTTGTGGTTGTGGAATGCATTTTGCTTTCTCCCTCTCTCTGTTTTCCTTGCCTCTTTTCTACACTCACACACACAGACATACACACATGCACTGAACAGCTGGACTGTTTCTTTCCCAGCTGTTGGCTCAGGCTTTGGGATTCTGTATAATGGAATATATAGCCTGTGATGGCCCTGCATGACATCATTTCTCTCTCTAGTGAGCCCTGTGCATATCTTCAAGTGCTTGCATTTCAGCAGTTCAACACAAATTGGCAACAGAAACAAGTCCCTAGTTAATTGCTATGTTTTTGCTTCACTTAATCATTGTACAAACTCCACATCTCTTGCAACTTTTTGCCAAAACAAACTCCACTCTGCCTCTCGTCATACTTTAAAATTAGGGAAAATGGAACAAAGGCATAAGCTTGATAACATGCTATGCTAGCTGTAATTAACATATGTGTCAGTGCTGAGCAGCTTCTAAAAATGACCTACACAGAGAACACGACATTGCTTGTGGGTGAGCGTAATCAAAGTTGTGTTATTTTGGTCAAAGGCATTAGAATTAGTGGTTTGTTGTAGCCAGATTTTTTTTCCAGTTTTCTTGTGATGTCTTATTTTGGAAAACAGCTGTAGTACTGCAGGAGTGCTATAAGAGTTTTAACTGACATAGTAAACGTGTGGTGACGCTTTAATCGCATGTAAAAAGCAAGCTCCAATAGAAGTAATAAAAAGTTTAATTGGAGATGTGTGTGATGTTCTTGTTTCAAGTTCACAGCTATTTTTGGAAGCTTCTAATAGAGCTTTCTTTCTGTTTTACTTCTCTTCTTCTTGCAGCCACCTGTGTGCTTTTGTTGGTTCAGTTTTCACCTGGAATAATGTTTAAATCATCTTTCTCACTTCCTCTTCATCTCTTCATGCTCCATCTTTCTGCCTTGGTTTTCTTCTCCTCCCATCTCTATTTCCTCATCTTTTTAATCTTCTTCTCTTACAGAATGCATACCCCAGGCCTTCAGTATACCGCTCTCCCAGGTCATTGCTAATGACAGAACGCACAGGCAGCGTCAGGACGGCTATCGTCAGGACCCTCCACAGCGTGAGGAGCACAAGGACTCCTCTGACCTTGTCTCATCCATTTTACAGGTCTGTAGATTCAACTGTATTCATCTTTTTCCTTGTTCCTCTCTTGAGATAATTCTATTTGTTACAGGATTTTTTAGGGACAAATATCATTTCTTCAGCAAATTATCCCATTTGATTTGTATGAAAAAACAAATGCAGCTCTTGGGTCATGTGTCCTGCAGTTTGCCACCAAGCGGCCATCCAATAAGGAGTTATCCAGCAGTAACTCTTCACTGAGTTCTACATCAGAGACAGCCAATGAGTCGACGTCACCCAACACCCCAGAAGCTGCACCACGTGCACGCAGGAGGGTGAGATGAGATAATAAAACTGATTGTAGTCTGAACTACAAGGCAAGGACTAGGTTTTTATGTTTTATTTAGCTGAGTTCAGTTTGTCTGAATCAAACGCACAAATTGTCCTCCAGGGAGGCATGTCAGTGGACTCTATCACCGACCTGGACGACAACCAGTCGCGCCTGCTCGAGGCGCTGCAGCTCTCTCTGCCCACCGAAACGCCCAGTAAAAAGGAGAAGCACCGGGACAAAAGGCTGAGCCTCAATCCCATCTACCGTCAGGTGCCCCGGGTGGTTGACAGCTGCTGTCAGCACATCGAGAAATATGGTGAGTGACTTTACTCCTGTAACCATCATATATGTACATCCAGTCTTTAATCTGTCATAACACAGGTGCTAGATACTTTTTTTCCTACTTCTCCACTCAGGTTTGCAGACTGTGGGGATCTTTAGAGTGGGCAGCTCCAAGAAGAGAGTCCGACAGGTGAGTCTTTTTGGTTATTCCCTCATTTGCTGTTTTGACGATAGTATGAAGAGCACTGTCAAAAATTTCCCATTGGGTTGAGATCTAGTGACTGCAGGGCCAAAGCACATGCCTCACATCATTTGGATACTTGTATCCTCTTTGGGAGCATCGTGTTGCTATGTATCATTTGTGCTCACAGACAAGCTGAACAACACCAATTCAAAGGCCAGTTTTGCAGAAAGTGAAACACTCTTCACACATTTTCCAACAACAAACAAAACCTCCTCTCTGAGAAAAAAATTGTGTTATAATAACACAGTGCACCAAAATGTGCCGGTCATGCTACTGAAGCTTCATCTGTTGCGTTTCTTTCATGTAAACAACAAACTTATTTCAGCAGCTCATGGACAAGGACACACTTCTTGAATATACTTGTGAAATATACACACACACTAAACCGACAGAGCAGATCATTTGTTATTCAAACAAATATATTCTATACACACAATATCACAATACATTATTCTACATACTCCCACAGCTTTCATTACCTGTTAACTATGACTCCAGTGGAAAAAACAGTAGAAGAATACATAGGTCAGGGTTAAGCTTTGAGTGTCAATCAGTGTGGGCAGCATCCACTTTAACATCTTTTCCGCTGCACTGACTTCCACTTGGAGACATAATTCATTCACCAGCCGGCACAAGCACACTTGTTTGACCTTCATGTATATGTCCACGGTTTCCTGTATTATAGGGGAGGTAGAAAAAAGCTCATTTTACATTTCTTTACTTTTTACATTTGAAGTTCAACTCAACTGTCACTCGATCAGCAGCAGCAGCAGCAGCATTCATGATAGGTTATTATGGTTATAAACGCAATGTTATAGTGTTTTGTTTGTTTTTATTTCTCTGAAGAGGTTTTTCTCACATGCACTTGTTGTAGTTTGTCACTAAAATGCGTTTTGGTCTTGTGTCTTGAAGAAAATGTGTTTTAAAAAAAAATAGGGAGCAAAGTGATTACTTGTTAAAAGTTAAGTTTTGTTTTTTAACCATTGACAGTCTAAGATTTGGTTCCTATAAATATAACAATAGTAATGTTTTTACTGTAGTTAGATGGACCACTCTACCTCTGTGTGTGTTTATAACACCTCTTCTTTATTATAAACTCATTAAATGAAACAGTTTGTATTCACACATCTGTATATTATGTGTGACAAATGAAATGCATTCTCTGCTGGTCTGTGTTGATACAATCCAATGTCAACATTTATGCATTTGACACCATTGTCAGCTCATTGTGACTTATAACAATTTATTAGCTTAAGTTACTGTGGTATATGCTGCACCCAGATGTCCCATGTGTAACCATCATCATGGCCGACAATAGACTCTCTATTTTTCTGGAAGTCATCCAAAGGTCGGATGAGATTAGGATCCTGTCTGGTAAAACTAGTTTGAACTGAGAGACTACCAGGTCACTTGGAGGACCAACAGGAAGCGAGTGTGTGTGGGTGTGTGCACTACCTAGAATATAATGTCTATTGTTATGAGCAGAGGATGTTTCTGAATCCCCCTTTTTCCTCTCTTTCTCCTTTGCCCTCTCTTTTCTTTCTGTCCCTCCTTTAGCTGCGTGAGGAGTTTGATCGTGGCATTGACGTCCAGCTGGATGAGGAGCACAGTGTTCATGATGTGGCTGCTCTGCTGAAGGAGTTCCTCAGGGATATGCCCGACCCTCTCCTAACCAAGGAGCTCTACACGGCCTTCATCAACACCACATGTAAGCTTCACCATACCTTTCTTCCTCCTTTTCTCTTTTCTGCATTTTTTCTTTCTCACCCAATCCATCCTAATCTGTGTTGCAGTGTTGGACCCAGATGAGCAGCAGAATGTTGCTCAGCTTCTGGTCTACCTGCTCCCAGCATGCAACAGTGACACGCTCCATCGCCTTCTGGAGTTTCTGTCCACTGTGGCCGATCACGCGCACGACCGACAGGACAAAGACGGACAAGAGGTGAGCACCAGCTTTTATCAACAGGAAATTAAACTACTAAAAAGTCCTTCAGCAAAATCCACAAATTAAGTAGCAAAAAATACAAACATGAGTCTGAAACATCCAATTGGAGTCGCTTTTAGTCGTGTGCAACATGTGCTTATGGGTAACCTTCTGTTTCCACCTCATTGGGAGGAAATTACCAAGGAAGTGATAAGAATCAGATCGTGTGGTTGGTATGTACACATATTTATCTTTGCCTTTCAGGCCTGAAACAGAACGAGGGTTGATGTAAGATTGCACCATAGCCTTTCCTTGATTATCACACCCATCATGATGTGAATGGCTGTATTTATTCCACATCTGCCCTCTGGTAAACTGGGGTGACACCTCAGCTTTTCGGCTCTTAGTGGCTGTAAAATGTACAAGGAAAGAACTAGTCTAAAGTTCCACCTTAACTTGGGGAACTCTTGTCAAAGTAAATATTTCTGTACCTTCCTCAAGCAACAGGAGAAGCTTGGATGAAGGTATTTAACTCACAACTGCTGATTGTAATCTAAAACAAATTTTGGAAGGATATAAACACAGTGAAACTGTTGGTCAAAACTTGAATGTAATACATTTGATGTTACTAAGGATTCCCCAAGACTGTGGTCCCCATGATCAAGGCCAGGAGTTTGCAAGATACACTATATGGCCAAAAATCCACATACTTTTGGTTGGGGGTGGTTTTTCATGGTTTGAAAGGAGGAATGACCTTTTTCAACAGGACGATGTTCTCATGCACAAAGCGAGGTTCATAAAAAATGCTTTTCTGAGTTTGGAAGAACTTGACAGAGTCCTGACCTCAACCGCATCCAACACCTTTTGGATGAACTGGAATACTGACTGCGAGCCAGGCCGTATCGCACAAAATGAGTACACAATCTTGCTGATGTTCTTCTGGCTGAATGGGAGTGAATACCTGCAGCCAGGTTTCAAAATTTAATACAAAGCCTTCCCAGAAGTGGGAGGCTGTTATAACAGCACAGTGATGCCTACGGTTTTTGGAATGAGGTCTTCAACAAATCACAGAAGGCCGTAAAATTCAGGTGTCGACATACTGTGCTCCTCTGTCTACATACTTTCAGACATGTACTGTAAATCTGAGGGACAGTGAAAAAGTGGAAAAAATGTGCTTTCTTTAGTCTGCTGAAGAAATTAAAATGTCTCAGTGAATGGTGAAAACTAGATTTTGATCCTGTGATAGCAGCAATGAGGGGAGGTGATGTCGGGATACAGGAAGTGACATCATGATCCGTTATCAAGACTGTTCGTGGTTTAAATGATCTCCACTCTCCCACTCCCACAAGCCCTTTAGCCTTCATTAATTCCCCAACTGTGGACATGTGTGCATGTTTTAGTGTCTCTGCATGTGCGTGGGTATAAGGCTCTGTGTGTACTGTATGTGTGAAAGAGAAGCACAGAGTGTGTTTCAGCATGCGTGTGCGCAGATGGAAGTGTGTTCTGCTATCTCTGTGTGTATACACATGAAAGGGGGCTCAAACACTGATGTGTGTGTTTTTTCCCTTCACGACTTCATGGCTCCAGTATCTGTATCTGAGATCGTGACAGGAAGTAGGAGCGTTTCACACTCAGCCTGGAACAACACATCAATACTTTTGGCTGCTTGTGGCTCCTGTCTCTCCTTTGGGACTGGGAGTGGGAAGGGAGGAAGGTTGGAAAGACGCAGAAAAATAAATTTATCACCAAAAGAGCTGTCCAAGCTTTGAAGGGCTTGCAACTGTAGATACTAATTTTGTCACAGGATGCACATCATCACCCAACCCTAGTGGAAACAGAGGTTGCTGTTGCACACTCCAACACTTTCAGTATTAACAAACCCCATGATGCCACCTGTTATCCATCTATTGCTCAGTGACAAAAACACAGAGGGGGGTCTGACGAGATACAGACAGAGGACGGCACAGATGGGAAAATCAACATGAAAGATTGGATGAGGACGGAGATGTACGTGAGAACTGGAGGAGAAAGGGGAGAGAAGAAGAGTCAGGAGGGATGAAAGGAAGTGTTTCCAAAGACTGTGTAATCACAGCAAAACGCAGTGATGTCATTTCTGCAGCACAATTTTTAAATAAATTTCTCCTGATAAGGGAGGAGAACAGGTCCTGATATTCCCAACAATGCAGGCAAAGGTGACAAAACTGCTTGTAAACTGAACTCAAACAATAAGTAGTCACCCAATTTTTGTGAGGGAGTGGGCCCCTCACTGGGACTGCTCACTTCTAGCACCATCATCTGGTCAATTTTACTCTCCTCCCAATATTCTCATTTCAGCCTTGTGCCTGTAGTCTGTGTAGTCTACTCACTTATGAAATACTGTCATAAACAGCACGCATCATGATGACATGCTGTTCGAGTTAATTTAAAAACATCAAGTACAAGTTTCTTTGCATAAACATGCTTTTATGTTGAAAATGAATTAATCCTCATTGGTGGAGGATTCAGTTGGATTACAGATGAGGCACCTGATGATCTAGCATTAACAGGGCTGTACTTTTGTGTGTCTGAATCCAAACTGCTTGTTTCCTTTACTGTAGATCACAGGGAACAAGATGACATCTTTGAATCTGGCCACCATCTTTGGCCCTAACCTGCTCCACAAGCAGAAGAACTCAGACAAAGAGTTCAGCGTCCAGAGCTCGGCCAGAGCTGAGGAAAGCACAGCCGTCATCGCCGTGCTGCAGAGAATGATCGCCAGCTACCAAACCCTCTTCATGGTCAGTCCCTGAGCTTGTGTGTTTCTAACTTTCATCTCACCTCACCTCACCTCACTTCCTCCTTTGATTCTTTTGCCCCTCAAGGAAACACACACATACACAGTCTCACATTCACTTGCTCACTTTCTCTCTTACATTCCTGTGTCGACTTAAAGTAAGACAATCCCTCCTGGCTTAACACACAATGGTTGTGTCTTAGTTAATAAAAACAGAGCTCTGCCTGGTTTAGTGAACAGAGAGAAAGAAGAAGACAGAAACAAACATAGGAAAGTAAGAAGGAAGAGGAGAAAAAAAACAAAGAGAGTGAAACATAACAGATTAAATGAGGAGTGTTTTTGGTCAAAATCATGCCTGAATTCTTGGTACTATAACAAGAAAGTAAAAATCTTGCCAGTTAACTGACAGTAACACCAAAAACCTTTCATCCAGATACTTGAACTTTTTCTTTCCAAAATAAAAGCTGAAAATTCAGGCATGAAATCCTCCGTGTGGTGTCAGAAGCCGTCACCATTTTGCACGGATTACCGCCTCATCAGTTGCTTTTGTTCCTTTCTGTTCCCGGGGTTCTCAAAAACAGTGCAGACAGGCACTTCAGGTCATTTCAGGTCCGACATCTTAAACCGTAATGTTTTGTAATCTGCCACCACCGTTCCCCTGAGGCTTACATTCCTGCAGTAAGCCAATGAAGAGCTATTAATCGCATATAGTGAATTGGGACTGAGTTGCTCAGTCTCGGTGAGTAAAAACAGATTTGTAGGCAGCTCAGGTTCTGTGAATGACATATGAAAGTTGTTTCATAACCTGCTTATGTCTGAATTTGTTAGGGACCTGGCAACTTTTACTTTCAAAGCATTTGAGGATCAGAATCATTCGTGGGCAGCTTGGACAGTGTTCTTCATTATAATCCACATGTTTGATAAGCATAAATTTCAGCTAGTTACCTGAAGATCAGACAGACAAGACAAGACGGATAAGAGACATTCAGTTCTCTCACTGTTTGCATTGACACATTGGTCCGTGCACAAGTAGGAAAGTCCTCATTTCTAGTTTTTAAAAGGAATGAGTCGGTAAAAAAGTGAGATCTTTAAATAAAATCAGGATAAATGAGAATGAAACACTGAATGAGATCCATCAAGCTGTTGTTGTTGTTGTAGGTTCCTCCTGATCTGCAAAATGAGGTGCTGATGAGTCTGTTGGAGACAGATCCAGATGTGGTGGACTACCTTCTGAGGAGAAAGGCATCACAGTGAGTCTACACGATCACATTTCATGTGGTCTTGTGTCTCTCTTTTCCTTTTCTCTCTTTTTCATCTACATTTGTTTTCGCCCACAGGAGTCCTGACCTGTTGCCGTCAGAGGAGCCCTTCACCCTGAGCGAGCGCCGTTCCTCCAGTGATTCCAACAAGGTATCCAGTGGTGAGGTCTCTCCTTATGACAACAACTCCCCGGTCCTGAGTGAGCGGAGAGGAGAACCAGGGAGCCCAGGTAGCGAGCAGCTCTTCCGTGTCCCAGAGCAGTACACTCTGGTGGGGCAGGTGGCTGGCTGGAGCAGAGAGCCTGGAGCAGCTGACACTTGGGGTACCAAAGGTGACACTCAGCGATTCATTTTATAGATTCTACTCTGAGGATGTGAATTCATACTAAGAACATACATTTTCTCGGATCTGTTTTTTGGTTTTCGGTGTCTGTATTTTTTCTGGGTTGTATGTAAAAGAAATATGGACTCCATGTTCTTTTCTTTACTGTGAGACTGAGTCTGAGTCTTCCTTCAGACACTATATCAGAGGAGCATGCTAACATATGGGGAACGTGGCACAGCACTCTAAAACCAGCATTCAAGGACCAACCATACACAGGTAAACTGTTTTCCCTCATTTCAGGTCCTAGCAGTTAATGAGGCAGAGCAGTATGTGCCTGACACCTGGCGCTGGTTGTTAACCATCAGACAGGAAGAAAAATGAAGCACCTTAACCTTCACAGTTTCGTCTGTGATTTCTGGTCATCAGAGACCAGGGTCCTGCTGGTTTTTATTTATATGTAGACACTTAATTTGCTGCTAATTTACACCTGTGGTGCCAGGTGAATGCATTCAACTCATTAACTCATTGGTAGGACAGAAAACCTCCTGTCCTGTTGGTTTTTATTCATTTTTAAAATGATTTGATATCTGCAAAAGTAACCAATTCTGCAGAAAATTGTGGTTAAGTTTATCTTGTGTAGAAAAATTTTAAAAAATGAATGAAGAGTTATGTTTTTTTATTTGTCTTTATATTTACGATACAATAAGACCTGCTAAAAGTGTTGTTAAAGAAACTTGTGTTTCAGCATTTCCTTGTATATTCTTATGCCAAGCACCTACTAGTGGTGTGTGTCCCTTGTTATTCATTAAACTCTAATCACTAATTAATGCCACTGATGAAGTTGATGTTCTGCTTCTAGGTTCCCATGGTAACATGTCAGAAGGAAGCTCTCGCAGCTCACAGGAAGGTCTCGATGGACTCCATGCCGATGGCAGGCATCAGGCAACGCTACAACGGACTCAGACAGCACCAGGCATCACTGAGTGCAGATCCCACCCCCCGGTCAGCAGAGTGTGCACCAGCCCTCATGTAGGGACGGGACGACCACGGCTGCAGCTGAACATCAACCCCTCGGTGACGTCGCACCTCAACAGCACGCAAGGCCTCCAGCGAGCAAGTGGACACGGAATTAATCCGAGCTCCAGACCTCAAGGCGGGGTGAACATTGCTGATGGTGGCCCCGCTACGCTTAATGACAGCCGCTTTCCACCCCCTTATAATGCCCACCATCGACTGGCTAGTTCTCAAAGTTCGCCTCAGCTCGCAGCGGCTCAGCTGCCCCCTCTGCAGCATGGGAGGTCCAGTGCGACGCAGAGTAACTCAGCCTCAACAACAGAGGCCCAAATGGTGCCACAGAGCCCGGAGTGGCAGGACTGGCAGAGGGACCGGTGGCAGATCTGGCAACTGCTGTCCTCGGACAATGCCGACACACTGCCTGAAACGCTGGTCTGATCTCAGTCCGTGAACTCCAGCTTAATCTCTGTAGAGATTCTGCTCTGCTGGCCAACCAATGGCACAGTCAAACAACTCCTCCTATTGACAATCACCTCTCATCCTTTCGCTAATTTTTTTCTCTTGCCCTGCCTTTCATCCATTCATTCATGGATTTCATCCTTTCGATGAACCTTCTGTGCTTCTCCTGCATCTTAGCGCCGTGGTGTTGTTGTTTACGTGTGCAGCTGCTGCCTTATATGGACTTTTACATCCAAGAGCCACTAGTATTTTTTGTTTTGTATGGATGTTTAAGAGTTGCTTCTGTTGCAAGCCCATATGTTTTGTCCATAATGACTAATGAGTTGTGAGCATAGTAAAAAATGCCCACCAGAAATACCTCAAAAAACACATTTTCTATTCTGAGAGTTAAATCTTCATATCTCATTTGAGAACAATAGGAAAGCACCATTTCTTTAGTTTATTATATTTTTATTTGATTATTTTTACTTTCTTTAAAATTTTCACCATAAGACACTAAGATGTACGCATTAGTAATTGCTGCTAAATGTAGACTTTTTGTGTGCGTACTCTTGATGTAGTTCAGCCACATCTGTCTAAAAAGATCAAATGTTGAATTATTTTTCGTTGTCAGATGATGTTTGACTGTATATATACAACCTGTTGACAAACATACTTATACAATATATATGTAAATTGACATGTAAAGTATATAATTTGCCAATCTACCTAAAAGTAAGTCAGCCCTTTAACAGGCAGTCAAAATGTTGGTGTTTGTCAGACTGCTGTTTTCTGTCGTTAATATTGAATGTAAAATGCTTCACTTATGGAAAATGCTTAGACCTACTTTTAAAGCACTCGACTGTAAGTTTGCTTCTATGTGCTCCTGCCACCTGCTGCACTGCAGGATCAATGTGCCAAAGTCTGTTTTTTTTGTTTTTTTTAACTTCAGGATATTTATCGTACAGCTGTGTTCATTTCATCCAGTTGTTCATTTCGATGGACACTCAATAGCTTGTGACATTGTCAGGAATGTCATTGCCGCAGTATAGGAGTAAGGAGGCTCATTTTAAGACACACAAAGATTTCATCATCAGGTTTGTGTGAGGATCATATTTCCACCTATTTATAAAATGACTAACTCAACAGTAATTAATTTATGTGAATGACGTGACATTCATTTTCTTATACCTCTCATGCTAGACTGAATATTCCAGCTGGATTTAGATTCATTACCTGTCTAAAAGGCTTGATGAATTTTTCTAGTTGTCATTAAAATTCATAAAAAATTAAATGCTCCAGCAGTGGTCAAACTGAGGTGCTTAAAAAAAACAAAAAGTGTCCTCATCACTTCAAATGCAGTGTTGTGGCAAATCCACATGGAAATATATCTCTGAATATGCCAACAACCAACCTGTCAAAATCCTCTCAAATATCACAGTCAGGTGGGTATTTGCTGGCAAATATTTCACATTTTCTCAAGTTATGGTGTAATATTTGCTCATTTGAAGCTACTTCAGCATTAAATCTGGGAACACACTGTATTTGATTCAACATGTCTGTCATTTGCTTGGCACTTGTAAATTATGTTGAGGAGAAAATGGAAAAGTCTCATAAGTGCAAGAAGTGGACAGACTCTGGTAAGAGTTATGGCGCCATCTATTGTCAGATCATGTGCATTGGCATGCTGCTGCTTCCCAGAGTTCAGTGTCTCCATGGCATCCAACTGCGCTCAATGTAGAATCAAAGCTTCTGATTATAAGCACCTTCTGTGAAAATGTAAAAATCTGTGTGAGGAAATAAATGTGCCATAGGTCTCCATGCATTACTCAAGGTTCATATTGTGAATTTTTTTGTATTACGTTGTTTTTTTCATTGAGTGTTGTAATATATAAATACAATATAACAATTTTTATTCATAAGAAGAAGAAAAAAAGAAAAAAAAAGGAGCAAATAATCCTAATGGTCCTAGCTCTGTTTCCCCAAACCAAGACCATGTTTGTCTTACTGACGTCAACTAAGAGAAACTTAGTGCTATGGTGTTTTTTTGTTGATATTTTGGTGGGGTTCACTGGGTCCAAGTTGTAATGGAATATCTGGTAATTGCTTTTGTACTGCGTGTCATCATCAATATGCTACTATGGAATTAAATATGATAAAGTTTACACCTGCTGTTGGAGTCAGTGCTTTATGATGATGGCAGTGTGCCACAGCATAAAATGTCAAATTAAAGTGATTATTAATTTAATTTATGTTTGAAAAAACAAATAATTTATAGCTGTTTTTAGCCATTTCTCCCGTCTCCACACACGATCTCTGGAGCTCTGCAGTGACCAGCTCTCTTACCAATGCCCTTCTACCCCGATTGCTCAGTTTGGCCAGAAAGAGTCCTGGTTGTTCCAGACTTTACAGTGAAAACACAGTATGTAGATGTGTAGCCTCACTGTTATATTTATGAAAGGCTACAGAACACCATTGCTTTTTAAGTCGAAAGGTCACATGTTAGGTACTTTTTTAAGATCTCCAAAGAGCCCCAAATTACCACAAGTCCTGGGTGTGTCTGCCTGCAGTGCAAAGCTCCTGCAAACTAGCTTTTGGGAGAGCTGAGACATTTTTTGCTGGTGGGTGGCTTACCATTATTGTTTGTGTGGTGTGTGGTTACTGCAGTGTAATTTTTCCCCTTTAGTGGTCCACTCAAGGATTCACACAGCTCTCTCGCTTTCTCTCTCATCCACACAGGGAACTTTAACTAATCAGGTTTTGCTTTCATAAAAGATAAATTGAACATTACTTTTCACTGTATTTCTCATTATGCACTGAAGAGGTATTCTTCATTTTAAAAAATTTAAAGCTTTTCTGCAGTCAAACTCCATTTTCCATTTCACACTGAGGAGAAACACAAACTTGTATATTTCAAAGAACTGTTCAGGGCTGACTATCTGAGCTGCACTCATGGACACAAAGCACAGAGTTTCTGTATGTGCGTCAAAATAAAACATAGGTAGGAGATAGAGGGTTAAGAATCAGCAATGACAGCTCCTCAACCAGTCAGCAGAACAGTGACTAAAAAAGCATGAGCCAGAAAGATGTCATCCTCACACCCTTTAACCCTGACGACAGTGCTTCTGCCTTTAGATCCAAGGACAAAGAAAAAAAAAGGTACTCTGAGCCACTCGACTATAAATGTCAAAGTGAGGCATGAGCAGGCAATTTCAAAAACTTGACGGAGCGAGATACAGTAGTTGGGCTATTGTGCATAAACCCCTTATTACACCTGAAAAATACATGTCTGCGAACGCACTGGTGCAAAGAATAGAGGCAGTGATCTAGTGAGCAATGGAAAAATGTCAGACGGTCAGATGAGTCATCTCTCGAAAAGGCAGAAAAGTATATGCAGAGCTCTGGCCAAAGTGAGTCAATGAGTCTGGGAGGTTATTTCCCATGGAGATGATGTCTAACTGTTCTGTTAACAACTGAAGAGGAAAGGAGCAGGCTAATAAGTTATTCTAGTATTCATGTGTCATCCAGGATGGAAACACCACTATTTACTGGGCCACCGAATGATTTGAATCGTGAAGCTGATGCAAATAAGTCAGCAGATCTGAAGTCAGCTCAGCATTCATGGGAAATTACCTAGATGTGCCTGAGGTGCATTTTCCATGACTGTCACAAAAACACCACATAATAAAGCTTCTTGTGGATAAATGATGTCAGAGTCCTGCAGGGGAACAGCAGAAACAGCAATCTGAGGCCTCCTGTAATTGTTTTGGTGGTCCATGATTGCCTAATATGCTATTAACTCAATTAATGTTTGTTCTTTTTGTTTTCTTGTTTGTTTTTTTGGAGTATCATTTTAATTCCTTGAGCAACTGTCCTTAATTAAATTTGTCTGTGATGCTGTAAAAATTCATCTGGAATGTTAACAGCACAAAAAAGATGTTTTGTATGTGATGTAATGTTCCAGTTACGCCCCTAGAGGCCAGTAAAGAGCCTTGAATAACTTTTTGAAGCACATACACAATATTGAGATTCTGTACCTCTCAAAGCCAATTGAATAAATTTTTCTCCTTCTTCACTGTACATCTCCCAAATTGCAACTGATGATGAACAAAACTAGTTTTTGAAGGTGACAAATGGAGATAAGTCTAAACTAAAAAAAAAAAAAAAAAAAGAGCAACTGTGAGACTAATTGTTCAATGGTTTTGTGATGGAGAGGAGGAAAAGGGAATGACCAAAAAAAGAGATTAAAAAGATTTCATAGCTTTTGGTTTCAATTCTCCTCAGCCCTGCCTGATAGCATATTAAATCACCTTACAGACCTCCACAGAAATGGAATTAACTGCTAGCAGACTATTAGACGTATGGAAAAAGGTAATGGATGAGCATTTGGGTGTGTGAGGGGACAGACAAGAGAGTGGCACTGAGCAACGATGGGAGTGAACTAATAATTAGAAATAGACACAATCTGCAACATGACCTCTTGCTTTCTCTGATTCCTCATAATGGACTTCAGTCAATTGAATCTGTCTTTCACTAGCAGCTACTTGAAAGTTCTGATCAACTCGTGAAACATTGGAAAGTAATTAGAATCTTTTTTTGCATCTCATAATAAGATAAACACACTTTTTTGATCAATGAGATGAAAGACCTTCTCATTAGTGCCATTTTTCTTCTTTTTCTCTTTTTATCAGCTACCTCTATTCACTTAGCTTTCACACTATTTAACTAAGGACATGCACTCCTATTCCATCGTCCATCCCTCACAACACCAATTAAAGCTTTTGCCATGCACTGTGTGCCAGTGATGTTTGAAATGAGTATGTCATGTTCTGCTCAAGGAGGTTCTGATTAATTGTGATCAGTGAATGCATAGAGGCAGTTTGTTTCACTGTACACTGAGTGCGCTTCTTCTCTTTTCTTTTGTCTTTTTGTTGGTTACTGGAAGCGAGCCTGATTTTAAATAGAATTTTGTGGACCATGACAACAAAACAAAGCTGCTTTATTTCAGTGGCTAATGACTTGGCCCAGAGTAATGTTATCCAGTTGGCCAAGCTAAAAGACAATTTGCCAGAAAAATACACATGCACAAATAGGTATGCATGAACTCATCTACACAGAGACACTTGTAATTGCCAGTACAAGAGTTCAGCCCCACTCCTGGAGGGAGTTAAGAATTCATGCATGGCAGTAAACAAAATGTGGATTTCAGTTTGTTTTATCACATTTCGATTGTGAGGCAGTGCATGTTTTATGAGCACAACATTTTGAGCAGTGCATGCACAATATTTTTCCTTTTTCCTACACATGCAGAAACACATGGTCTCTCTCTCTCTCTCTAATACACACACACACACACACATTTGAGCAGTGCATGCACAATATTTTTCCTTTTTCCTACACATGCAGAAACACATGGTCTCTCTCTCTCTCTCTAATACACACACACACACACACACACACACACACACTCTGAAAGGAATTCGTACCCACAAGGTCCTCATTAGCAAGCACAGTCGGTTCATTCTCATGTGTTGACTCTAACGGTACAAAAACTGGCCTGAAGATAGAAATGTTAAGAAACAGAAAAGGTTCAGACCTGAATTAACACATCTGCAATTCATTGTTGAATAAATCACATCACTGCCTGAGAAAACAAAACACAAAAATCATCATATATTCACCCACTACACCCAACTACAGCACCTTGTCTCTCATACATAGATTGATGACTATAGGTTTAGGTTTTTCCATTCTCAATCACATTTCACCTTAAAAGTTTGCATACCTCCACCACTATTGCACAGTCTTGTAAAAAGATTTTTTAAAAAGTTCTGAATAACTGGATGTTTTTTGTAGCTCTGTGTCAAATGCAGGCTAATTCACTGTTGGTTTTGCGATTTTCATGGGATTTGTTGATAAGAAGAAAACATGAGATGGTGCCAGCCTTGAAGAATCCATTTAAACCATTTAAAATTCTTGGGTCTGCACAAAAAGGCATCCCTTTTGTCCTTGGCCTGCAGCCTAACTTTCAACCTAATTTCATGGAAATCTGTAATCTACTGTAGTTTTTGAAATGTCCTACTATCTTACGGACCCTTATCTTCATTGGTTGACATAATTAGTGTCACCGAAAGATTTCACTCATCCTTTGCTTCTGTTTGGATGCAGGATAACTGAGAAATCAGAATAACTGTCCCAAAATTCTGCTATTAATGAAAAATTCCTGGTTAAACTCCACGTGTCCATTGACAGCAAAGTGCTGCTGCAGATGGAGAAGGCTCCAAAAGCCATAAAACTATGATTTAATGATGACAACATCATGTTTTTCCAAAGTGCAGATGACTCAAGATGGCTGGGATGACAAATCTTACACAAATGTCACAACTTGGAAACTGATGGGAAAATAAAAACAGACAACAAAATGTAATCACACATGGCTTGTATATGTGTTTTAGGCCTCAAGTAACTGTAGACAAGCTGCTTTTTGGAGCCAGAGGATGCTTTATCATCACTGGCTTATATTCATTCCTGAGTGTGACTTCTGCAGCCCTGTGACTGTGGGGCACTATCCAACCAACCATGACATATACTGATCTGCCCTCAGAAGCGGAAACACATAGGCGTGCTCTACACATGTTCACACACACATCAACACACAGCCCTTCTCAGCAGCTTACACTCATAGAAAGTAATGGTTCAATTCATTGACCGTGTGGCCCAGTTCTATAAGGGAACCCTGACAGATAAATTGCCACAGTCCGTTTGTTATTTCCATTCAAATGAATTGCTAACAGTCATGCTTCATTGTTTTCTGAGGAGGCAAGCTGTGGTCTCGCTTGTACAGAGAGTGATCGCATCAGAAAACGCTGCATGTGAATAGAACTGAGTTGATAAAACAAGTCGAAAACTGTTTCATATGTTCCATGAGCAAAGAAGACTTAAGAACTGAAAAAGGTGACAAAGATGGGTCAGATAATTATTAGATTAAATCAAAAATAATTTGATCTAAAAACTCAGATTACAGCCTGTGCACACTGCAATCTGTGTCAGACTGTACATTTCATGTTTCTTCAAAACCCTACATTCAAAGTTATTGTTTTAAAAGTCCTCTCTTCCTTCGGTATCTGCTATCTGCTGTACAGTGCAGTTAGGTTTTGTGCTTATG